CAGGCTAAAGATGCCCAGCTCCTCATAGGGCTTGTTCTCCAGACCTTGATCATTTTAGTCGCCCTCCTCTGGACACATTCCAGCTTGTCAATATCTCTCTTGAATTGTGGTGCCCAGAATTGGACACAATATTCCAGGTGTGGTCTAACCAGAGCAGAATAGAGGGGTAGCACTACTTCCCTAGATCTAGACACTATGCTCCTATTGATGCAGGCCAAAATCCCGTTGGCTTTTTTTGCCGCCACATCAAATTGATGGCTCATGTTTAACTTGTTGTCCACGAGGACTCCAAGATCTTTTTCACACGTACTGCTCTCGAGCCAGGCATCCCCCATTCTATATTTTTGCATTTTGTTTTTCCTGCCAAAGTGGAGTATCTTGCATTGGATGAAATGCAGAGAATGAAATATTATCAGGCAACCTAGGGGCTGGGCATTTATAACTAGGGACTAGCCATTATCAACTGCTAGCTGCAACATCCAGATTTTCAAAGCCCTGTGAAAGAAGGTCAGTGTAGTGGCTTGCCTAATCTCCCTGGGGAGGGAGTTCTAAAGTCAGGGAGCCCCCATCGAGTAGAGCCTCTTTCACATCGCTACCAACCGTGCTTGTGACGGTGGTAGGATCGGGAGGAGGGTCTCCCCAGCACATCTTAGAGACCATGCCGGTTCATAGGGGGAGATGCGGTCATGAAGATAAGCAGGACCCAAACTGTTTAGGGCTTTGTAAGTCATAACTTGCACCTTGAATTGGGACCAGAAACTTATTGGCAACCAAAAAGCTTCCGTTTTGTAGCAGATTTCCTATGAAGTGGGCGAGGTAGTAATCCTTTGTGATATCATACATTTTTTTCAGGAGGAGGCAATGACTGACAGTATCATAAACTGACAGGTCTATGAAGACAGCTTCTGTAATCTGTTGCCTTTCGAAACCATCTTCTAGGTGCTGAGTCAAGTTCAGCACTTGTGATGTGCAGCTTTTCCCTTTCCTGAAACCAGCTTGCTGTGGGATCATAAGGGTTTTTTGGGGGGTTTATTATTATTATTATTATTATTATTATTATTTTAAATATAGAGTTTTTTGGTTTCAGAACCTGGATTTATTTTTCCTCAGAATATTTGTGTTTGTGCATCATGATTATTTACTTATAACAATAACAATAATAATAATAATCATCATCATCATCATAAGCAAATGTCATTTTAACCTGCCCCCCCCCAGAATATTTGCATATATGCATCATAATCATTTACTACTACTACTAGTACTACTACTACTACTACTACTACTAATAATAATAATAATAATAATAACATGCACTGGCAGATTATGTGAAAGGCAGCCAAGAACCAACATTGAGAGAAGTTAATAGTAGTAAACTGCTTCAAGTACAAAAGACAAAGAGGGAATACCGTAAAAACACAATTCAGAGCAGAAGAGAAAACTGGCAAAAGAAGGCTCTGAAATGGAACTCTGAAAAAGGAGACGGAGGGCCTTATTTTGGCAACCCAAGAACAAGCCATTAGAACCAATGCCATCAAAGCCAGAATTGAAAAGTCGACGACAGATCCCAAATGGAGACTCTGCAAGGAAGCAGATGAAACAATAAATCACATCCTCAGCTGCTGCAAGAAGATCACGCAGACATACTACAAGAAGAGGCATAACACCGTTGCTCAGATGACTCATTGGAACTTGTGCCACAAACACCATCTGCCTGCGACAAAGAACTAGTTGGATCACGAGCTGGAAAAAGTTACAGAGAATGAACACGCCAAACTCCTCTGGGACTTCCGGATTCAGACAGACAGAGTTTTGGAGCACAATACTCCTGACCTCACAATCGTGTTAAAAAACAAAGTATAGATTGTCGATGTCGGAATCCCAGGTGACAGCAGGATTGCAGAAAAACAACTGGAAAAGCTGACAAGAAATGAGAATTTAAAAATTGAACTGCTAAGACTCTGGCACAAACCAGTAAAGGTGGTCTCAGTGGTGATCGGCACACTGGGTGCAATGCCTAAAGACCTTGGCCTGCACTTAAACACAATCAGCGGTGACAAAATTACCATCTGCCAGCTGCAAAAGGCCACCTTACTGGGATCTGCAAGCATTATTAGCCGATACATCACATAGTCCTAGACACTTGGGACATGTCCGACATGTGATCCAATTCAACAGCCAGCAGAGTGTCTGCTGTGTATTCATCTTGTTGTGTTTCGAATAATAATAATAATAATAATAATAATAATAATAATAATAAACAATGATAATTTTAACCTGGATTTTTCCCTAGGATATTGGTATATATGCATCATGATCATTTGTATATAGATCAATAATAATAATAATAAACAAAGGTTGTTTTACTGGGATTTTTTCCAGAATATTAGCTAATAATAATGATAATAATAATAAGCAAAGGCAATTTTACCTCCATTTCCCCCCAAGATATTGGCATGTATACATCATGATCATTTGCATATATAATCATTGTTGTTATATAATCACAGGCTCCACAACGAAGACCCATTTAGTGAGAAGACCCTTCAGGCAGTGCAGAGCATTGTGCCCTCCATCTCTGAAGCCAAGAAAGAACAGTGGATCAAGCTGATAACAGAAGTCGACATGGGCAGGAGCAGCCAGAAGGCGTGGAGGCTGCTAAGACGGTTGAGCAATGACCCCTCACAAACTAATACCCATGCCAACATAAAGGCAGATCAGATAGCACACCAACTCTTGAAGAATGGGAAACCCAACCTTGCCACCAAAGTAGGAAAGAAACCAATAGCCAGACAACCAGGGATTGAGAACAACAACCTTCATGAACCCTTTACATCTACTGAATTGGACATGGCTCTCAATAAATGTAAAATGGCAAAGCAGCTGGCCTGGATGATCTACGGATGGAACAAATCAAGGACTTTGGTCCAAAAGCAAGGTGCTGGCTGCTCGAGCTGATGAACAACTGCACTGCATCCTGTCAGATCCCCAAAATCTGGAGGAAAGCAAGAGTCATCGCCATCTTGAAGCCAGGCAAAGACCGTAATGATCCAAAAAGCTACAGACCAATCTCCCTGTTGTGTCACCTCTACAATGTTCTGGAGAGACTTATTTTGCATAGAATTATGGAAAAAATAGACCCCTGTCTGATTCCACAGCAAGCTGGCTTCAGGAAAGGCAAAAGCTGCACATCGCAAGTGCTGAACCTGACTCAGCACATAGAAGATGGCTTTGAAAGGCAGCAGATCACAGGAGCTGTCTTCATAGACCTGTCAGCGGCTTATGATACTGTAAACCACCGAAGGAATCCCACTGGAGCATTGCAGTGCACCCAAATACCTGGGAGTCACCTGGGAGCCCCCGGTGGCGCAGTGGGTTAAACCCCTGTGCCAGCAGGACTGAAGACCGACAGGTCGCAGGTTCGAATCCAGGGAGAGGCGGATGAGCTCCCTCTATCAGCTCCAGCTCCTCATGCGGGGACATGAGAGAAGCCTCCCACAAGGATGATAAAAACATCAAATCATCCTGGCGTCCCCTGGGCAACGTCCTTGCAGACGGCCAATTCTCTCACACCAGAAGCAACTTGCAGTTTCTCAAGTCGCTCCTGACACGACAACAAACAAACAAAAAAAACTTCACTCTGGACCGTGCTCTGACCTACAAGAAGCACTGTCTGAATATCAAGCAAAAAAGTGGGTGCTAGAAACAATATCATACGAAAGCTGACTGGCACAACCTGGGGATCACAACCAGACACAGTGAAGACATCTGCCCTTGTGCTTATGCTACTAAAACAGTGGATGTGGCTCTTAATGAGACATGCCGTATTATCACGGGGTGTCTGCGCCCTACACCACTGGAGAAATTACACTGCTTCAGTATTGCACCACCTGACATCCGCCGGGAAGTATCAGCCAATAGTGAAAGGACCAAGGCAGTGACATCCTCAGCTCATCCCCTGTTTGGATATCAGCCAGCACGTCAACGACTTAAATCAAGAAATAGTTTTCTAAGATCTACAGAGACACTCACTGGAACACCTCAGCAAGTGAGAGTCCAAAAGTGGCAGGCTCAAACCCAGAACCTCAATCAATGGCTGATACCAAAGGAGAGTCTCCCCCCTGGGCACACAGAAGACTGGGCGACGTGGAAGGTGCTGAACAGACTGGGCTCTGGCACCACGAGATGCAGAGCCAACCTTAAGAAATGGGGCTACAAAGTGGAATCCACGACATGCGAGTGTGGAGAAGAGCAAACCACTGACCACCTGCTGCAATGCAACCTGAGCCCTGCCACATGCACGATGGAGGACCTCCTTGCGGCAACACCAGAGGCACTCCAAGTGGCCAGATACCGGTCAAAGGACATTTAATCAACTACCAAGCTTGCAAATTTTGTGTCTTGTCTGTCTGTTTGTTTGTTTGTTTGTTTTTGTTCTGTTAGGAGTGTAATACAATTATCTGGTTGCCCCTGACACAATAAATAAAATAAAACATCATTGTCGTTGTCAAGAAAGGTAATCTTTACCTGGATTTCTTTCCAGAATATTTGCATATAATAATAACAAATAAAGGTAATTTTTCCATGGATTTTCCCCCAGGATATTGGCATGTATGCATCATGATCATTTGTATATATAATCATCATTATTAACAACAATAACAAAAGTCATATTTACCTGGATTACTTTACAGAATATTTGCATAATAATAAACAAAGGTCATTTTTACCTGGAGTTTTTCCGGGATATTGGCATATATGTATAGTGATCAGTTGCATATATTATAATAATATGGGGTCATAAGTGGGCCTGTTTTTTCCATCATTCTGTGCAGAATAAGTCTCTCCGGAACTTTATATGTGGCCGATAGGTGGCGCTGTTACTCCGCTTATCTTCTTCAGGCAAAGGGTTGCAATCCATCCTCCGGCCGCCAGGTGTCGCTGAAGACCCGTAAGCCGCTCCGTTTGGAACACTCAGCGGAAAGAAGCCGGAAGCGGAAGCGGCAGACCGGCAGGAGCAGCAGGAGACGGGGAAGAGGCGGTGAGACGGAAGCCGTGAGGAGGCGAATCATTCGGGACGGAGAAGGATGAGGCGGGATGTGCGCATTCTCCTCCTGGGAGAAGGTATGTACCTTGGGACCTTGGCTTTTCTCTCCCCTTCCTCAGGCCCAGGGGCCCCGAAGAGGCCCAAAGGAAAAGGGCCTGGAAGGCAGGCAGGCGGGCAGGCAGGCCGGCCGGCCTCTTCGGGCCCAAAGGAGGGTCCACGGAGCGCCAGTTATACCTTTTATTTTGTGGTATAAGAATATAGTACAATGTAATAATATAGAATAATCTAATAATTGTATATTATAGATTACATGTAGTATTGCTGATAATATTGCAGTATCGTGGTATAGTACAATATAGTAATATATAATACTAATATTGTGCTAGGCTAATATATTGTATATGCATAGAATATTGAAAGTAATATTACAATATAATGCACTATAATGCTAATAATAATATATAATAATACTGTAATATAGTCACACTAATATATTTAATATAATTACTACTGATAATATATAATGATTTGCTATTTTATTATTGTATATTTTAAGTTGTAATGTTTTTGATTGTGAGCCCCTTTAAGTCTCTGTAGGGAGAGATAAAGCAGGATATCAATCAATCAGTCAAAAACGGAGAGAAGCTTTGGCTTGGCTGGTTCCTTCTTTGGCCTGAAGCCTAGCCTGTATATACCAATTCTTTGATTTGATGTAGATATACCAACTGCATCACTTATCATCCCTCACCACTGGCTACAATTGATTCGAATAGAATAGAATAACTTTATTGTCATTATACATTACACAACAACATTATACATTGACTTTTGTGGAGAGGCATGGTAACTGCACAGTGGCAGACGGGAAGGTACTCTAAAGGGTCACCACTTCTGCACAGAGAATCATTGGTTGCCCACTTTCTCCCCTCTTTGGAAGGACTTTATAGGTCCCGTGGCCTTAAGAAAACTCCGTACATACTTGGGGTTCCATCTCACCCAGCATATTCTTTTTTTAAATTATTCCAGCTAGCAGATGGTACAGGGTGACAAAGGCAAGGACAAACAGAGTGGCTGACAGCTTTTATCCTAGAGCTGTAACGATATTGAAATCCCTGTTTTTGCATTGATGTGGTATTGGGAGCTGTGCAATAGTGATTAGAATGTGGAAGGGTGGGTGAGTTGTTTTGTGATGTGTGCTGTAGAAAGCATTTTATTTCATTGTACAATGTACAGGGTGACAAAGACAAGGACAAACAGATTGAGAGACAGCTTTTATCCTAGAGCTGTCAACTATGTTGAACTCCATGGTTTCACATTGATGTGGCATTGGGGACTGTGTGGTGGTGGTGGGAGTGTGGAGGGATGGGTACGTTGTTTTATGGTGTGTGCTGGGGAAAGCATTTAATTTTGTTGTATAATATACAATGACAATAAAGTTATTTATTTCTATTCATTTGCTTCTCTGTGTAGTCTAACAAAGTGGCTGTCAGAGTGGTCCAGAATTTCCATGTTCTCAAATGAAAAACATTAGGATTATTGTTGTTGTGTGCCTTCAATTGTTTGGCTTTTGGCAGGGACTGGGAAAGGTTTCGCTTTTACGATTACCCCTCCAAGCATAATTCTGGGGGCATCTACACCAGGCCTGGGCCAACTTTAGCCCTCCCTCCAGGTGTTTTGAACTTCAGCTCCCAAATTCTTAAAATCCGGTAGGCTGTTAGGAATTATTGTGGGGTTTGAAGTCCAAAACACTTGGAGAGAGGTCTGAAGTTTGCCCATGCCTGAACTAGGCTAAACAGCCTTAAGGGTGTTCTAGTCAAGGAAGCTGACCATAGTCATGAACGCTAAAGAAAGCTGAACCTTCACCCGGAGGAAAACTGACCTGCTTCCAGTTCACAGCTTACAGAGGATTTGTCTGTCGCAGGGCAGAATTATCTATCTAATCTTAGGCACGTCTTTCGAAAGGGCAAGGCCCTGTGACCAGCAGGGTTTCCCTCTTGCTTGCTGTCTTGTGGATAGGGAGGCTGCAAAGGTCCATCTTTTATGGAGTTGGCAGGTTGCAGTGTGTGGCTTGGAAGAAAATGGGGTACATTATTGAAAGCCAATCACATGCCTCTTCTTTAGGATCAAGGATGAGGAATATGTGGCTCTCTGAATGGATGGATTCCCCTCTATAAATGTATTACATAATGCAAAGAACTGTATGAAAAGGACGATTACTGCAGTGGATCTCAACCTGTGTGTCCCCAGCTCCCAGAAATCCTAACAGCTGGTAAACTGGCTGGGATTTCTGGGAGTTTTAGGCCAAACCCCACAGGTTGAGAACCACTGATTTAGTGCACAGAGCTCTGTTAGGACTTGCAGGCATGAGCAACCTGGAATATGGTCAGGTGTTTGGATTGACAATGGCATGTGAATGGTCCAAAGCACCTGGAAAGCATTGTCTTGACTTTTATCATGCTGTGCTGTTCAAACATCCTTTATCCAAAAAGCTGCCGGTTTTCTGATAGTTGTCTGATGATAGTAATACCTTTATATTGCTATTCAAAACTGCCTTACCCTTGGCCCTGGCAGCTGGCGATAAAAGATGTACTTTTGTAATTGTATGATCTGTATTTTAATATATTTCATGTATTAATGTACTACGATGCTATTATGTTTATCCTACTTGTGTATGAATTTCCTGTTGTTAGCCAGCCTGAGTCCGGAGGTCGAGAAGACCTGGTTATAAAAGCTCTAAATAAATAAATAATATACTGCTTTTTGCCATATAGGTACTACAGTGCGACCCCTGGTTGTGGAGATATGTTCCGAATTTTGCATGGGTCATGAAACCATCGATTATAGCAAACCCTATGATTTTCAATAATACGAATGGAGTAGATACTGTAAAGGGGGTGTAGGTTGTACAGGAGTCCAACCTACTTAAGGTGAATAAGTGAAACCATGTGTTCACTTAAGATGAATCAATGAACCTATGGATAAATGAGACCATGTATATCATTTCAGACTGCATTTGTCTTTTGTCTCCTACTGACTGAACTTACCCTTGTGGTAATTAATCTTCTTTGTCTTTCCCAGCCTCTTCATATACAGTCAGGGTTTTCTCTCTTAACAGTGAGGATCATTAAATTGACTAAACAATTTTTAGAACTTTGAAACTTCCCCATATAATTTAACTGTAGAAAACATAAGAGAAAATGTAGATCTTTTCCTCTTTTATTTCAACAAGCCCTTTTTTTCATTCTTCCTGAAATGAACCATATCTCAGAAAGCAGTGCTGGTTGCTGACACCAACTCTGTGGGAATCTTCCTTAATACAGTTTAAAGCAAACCATATTTTTTCTGCCGTGCTGGCTACAACAATCTTTTCAAATATTCATAACCTTAAAAAAAACCCCAAACACAGCCAAATGCCTCCTCTTTGCTGAGAGCTATTGCTATTCCAAATTTTGGCCCAAGGCATCTTGTATTATTAATTATAAGAGTTTTGCTAAGGATCCAGGTCTATAGAAGAAGCAACATATTAGCAGCATTGTGGATTTGCCCCTTGGCTGGCTTTTCAAACAATTGTGTGAAGTTTTTTTTCAGGAATGTCTGACATCAGTTTCAAAAAGAGAAGAGGAAGGTGATTCAGTTCTCCTTCCAGCTTTCTTTATGTCTCATTTGTGGCACTTCTTGGCTGTCCTAAATGAATGGTGGTGTGCTTTGCCCGCTTTTGGCTTCAGCACATGGTTGATTTAAACCATAGCCTTGTCAAATTTCCCAGGCATATAACTTTCTGGCCTGCTTGCTCAGACCTTTAAACTGCCGCATGGTAACATTTTGTCCTTTTTCCTTATTCAGCTATTAGTTCTTTGACCCTTGTTCTTTGTTTTCCTCTCTTGCCAAGTTTGCACAAACTTTTTTTTTTATCTCTCACCCCTTTTAGACAATTCCATCAACACTTTAATAGCACTTTAATTGTTATGCTTTTGTCCCACAGAATCTTGGGATTTTTTGCTTGGGGGAGCACTAAAGCTCTCTGGCAAACATGTCTAAAACATGTTTGCCAGATCCTCACTTCCAGGGCTGCGTGAGGATTTGAACTCTGGTTTCCCAGAGTCTTAGTCCAGCACTCAGTCCCCTACACAATGCTAGACAACCATACAGCTCATTAGATGGCCTTGGGGAAGAGCAGGCCCCTTTGCAGGTTTATTGTGAGGATGAAATGTGACTTGACATAGCATTTATCTACTTATTGCACCATAGCCGCTAAAATAATCTTGTTTTTTGGTCTTCTCTCTCGCAGCCCAGGTGGGGAAAACCTCGCTGATCATGGCCCTGGTGGGTGAAGAATTCCCTGAAGAGGTCAGTAGAAAGTGACTCTTGTCATGAGAGCAGCAACAGACAATGCTTGAGATCTGCAGCTAAAGATTTGACTGATATTTTCTAATATTCAGACTTTGCCACCACCTTCCCAACTACTTCAATACCCTCTTCTCCTTGGTCTAAAGTCCACAGATTCTCTTGCCTATTTGACAGTTTATTCTGCCCTGAATCTCATACATAATGTTTCTTCCTAGTCCTTCTTTTTCTACTAGATAAACTGTCTTCTTTAGGTACAGATTTCTGCTTTTACATGGTGGTGTCCGTGCATTCTATTTACTTTTTAAGCCAGGTATCCATAAAGTGAATGTCTCTTTTTCTCCACCCTAATAAACATGAAGAGGCAATCCTATACACACCACAGCAAAGATGGAGACTCTAGGGCCCTTCCACTCATTCCCCAAAATTCACACACTACACACACAGGCCTTTGGGCTCCTTACTGAGGCCAGCAGCAACATGGGATACTTCTGGAAGCCTTCACCCACACGTGCATCTCTCCCTGCCTGCTTGACCCCGTCCTTCCTTGTCACCTGGGCACAACTCCTGCTGTTTTCATCTCCATGTGAATTATTTTTCTTTTTCATTTGGTCAAAACTGAAAAAAGAACGGCCTGCTCATGCAGCCTTTCCTCTCCCTATCGACTCAGGGGTGAGAGCAGACAGGATTAGATGGGCTGGGTTAGATGGGCTTCTGAACTGATCTTCCTCTTTCCTGAGACTCCAGCTGCATCCATGATGTTCTTCCAGAATAGTTACTACTACATTCTATGTTTCTACGTAAGACTCCTAGCCAGTGGCCATGCGCTCATGTAGTTCCAGCTACAGCTTTTCCTGCCAGTTGTCTGAGAGCTTCAGTGATTGACCAGAGACTTCCCCCACCTCTTTGCTCACACACTTCCCAAGAGACCGAAAAGGGCTGCTTTAATTCCTTCAAAGGGCTGCTTTCCCCCTCAGCCAGCCTGCCTGCCACCCCTTGTTCCAGAATTGGAGCTTCAGATCCGCAGCAAGCAGATGGTGTCCAAGCCTCTCCCCTCCAGCTTGACTCCATGACCCTTGCACGGTCAGTGCTGTAAGTCCCCTAATCAGTCGCCAGGATCATCTTAAGTGCCTTTCCCTGCTTTGGGCCCCGGCAAGCAGCTTAATGTTTTCTCTCCCCGCCATGTGCCCCGGCCCTCTCTCTCACCATGGCCAGTGGATCTGGCCACGATTTGCAGAGACTCAGAAGGTCTTGTGAAGGGAGTGGCAGGCCAGAAGGGCTCCAGCAAGGTGCCATGTGGCCACCCAGGGTCTCCCTTCATGCCTGTGCCATTGTAGTCAAAGAGCATGGAATGAGGAGTTGACTCAAAATACCTGCTTTCATTCATTTTACACATATAAAAAAAGAGATTCTAAATACAGGATCCTGGGGCAGTTGGGTGCCCTCTGGATGAGATCTGAAGACCTACTTAAATTACCCAGTCTCATCTGAAGCCAGTCCATGGAGGTAGATAGGAAGCTGGGCTGTGGTGGCTGCTCCGTGGCAAGACCAGCCTCATTAGCTTCCTCCTTCCCATCAGTTTTTTCCATTCTACATGACCATTTCATGAATGACTGTTTAACTTGAAAGCTGGTATATGAATGTCAAGCCTTAAGGCTTGTTGGGAGACGCTGTATTGTTCCTGAGTACCTTCAGCCAGGTTCTGACCCTATTCCATGCATCGCATCCTCTCCTGCATGTGCTCATTTTCCTACTGGTCCAAAGGTCTCCTTGTTGTTTCTGCCCCCAGGTGCCTCCCCGTGCAGAAGAAATCACAATCCCAGCCGACGTCACCCCTGAGAAGGTTCCCACCCACATCGTGGACTACTCAGGTAGGCCTTCCAGTCTCTGTTTCATCCCAATAATATTATTTGAGCAGCCTTTTGTGCCATATAAAGGACCAAGATGCCAAAGTGTCGCTACCCTTTCTTGTCCTTTCAGAGGCAGAGCAAACAGAAGAGGAGCTCCGAGAGGAAATTAACAAGGTGAATAGAGAAAGCAGCACGGCATGCAGGGTGGAGGCCATGCAGCCCCAGTGTCTCCAATGCCTGGTCCTCCCTCTGTGACACATGCTGCATCTTGAATTGTGCTCTTAAAGCTCAGCTGGAACAGCAGACCTCACTCTGAGAGGGGGTATCTTTGGATTAACATTATCCGTTTTGTTAAAAGTTTGCTAAATCCTTTGCTGACTTGTAAGCCACTGTATGTGCTTTAGCCTAGCAGGTTTAATCAGGCCTTGTGAAAGAGGGAGGAAGAAAGAAAGAGGGGAAAATATTGCTGTCTGTTGGACCCCCTTCTTCCTTTGAATTGGGAGAAGCACATCATGGGCTGCTTTGAGTGGCAGAGGGAAAGACTACAGTGTCCAAAATCTCCAAGCCATTGTGGCCACTGACCCAGCTGACTGGTGTATTCTAAGAGCTGGAGTAAAAAAAAGAGAGAGAGAGCAATGCTTCCATGGTCTGCTGTCACACTAGTCCAGACATGGGCCAACTTCGGCCCTCCCTCCAAGTGTTTTGGATGCAAATATTTAACGTTTTTGTTTTATTTACCAATGTATTAATATATGGCATTGAATTGTTGCTTTTGTATGGCTGCTCTAAGTCCCCTTCGGGGTTGAGAAGGGTGGGATATAAATGAGGTAAATAAATAATTAATAAACTACTTCAACTAGAGAAGTCAACCATAGCAGAGCACTTGATGAACAAACCTAGACACAGCATATTGTTTGGGAACACAGAATTGCTGAACCACTCTAATAACCACTATGTCAGACTACACAGAGAAGCCACTGAAATCCACAAGAAGCATGTGGAAAATTTCAACAGAAAGGAGGAAACCACGAAAATGAATAAAATTCTGGCTACCAGTATTTAAAAAATTCTAAAATCAAAACAGTAAATAAAAAACAACACTCAAAAACAGGGGAATTCCAGACAAGAAACTATCAAGACCAGCTAATCACCTCCCAACAAAGGATTCCCCAGGCAGTATTTATTTATTTATTTATTTACTGTCCTTGTATACCGCTGTTTCTCAGCCTAACTGGCGACTCAACGCGGTTTACAACAAAATATACAGTGCACAGTATACAATTAAAACCATAAAAAACATAATACACAATATTACACGTAAATCACAATCCAATATATCTCCTAACTAAAATCGTGGTCCAATTGCATCATCCATATTACCAATCCGTAATCAACACATTCATTGCACCGAATTAACCAAATGCCTGCTTGAACATTCAAGTTTTTAGTCTTCTTCGGAATACCATCAGCGAGGAGGCTGATCTTACCTCCATGGGTAAGATAAGCAGTCAAACCTTGAAGCTGCAAGGCCATTAAATGCTAATCAAGGTGGCCAGTTGTAACAATTACACCTGCCTCAAACAGACATTCCTGGACATTCCACAAATATATAAACCCCACTTGCCTAGTTTCCAACAGACCTCACAACCTCTGAGGATGCCTGCCATAGATGCAGCCAAAATGCCAGGAGAGAATGCTTCTGGAATAAGGCCATACAACCCGGAAAATTCCCACAAATAGCTGTTAGGAATTGTGGGAGCTGAAGTCTGAAACACCTGGAGGGAGGCCTGAGTCCAGAATGTGCATTTTCCCCAAATTTGGAAGGCAAAAAGAGTGCAACTGCCAAAACCGGCTTTTTTTATTTATGTGCTTGCATTGCCAGTCTCTGTTGAAGTAATGACATGGACCTTGTGGGTCTGTGCAGCCAGCCTTTACATTAATGAGGGCATGCGGGTCCATTTCACCCAGTTATTGATATTTGATAGGCAACACATGGTCCCAAGTCCTGCTTAAGCAGAGATGTCGATGCTTCTGTTTCGTGAGCAAGTGCTCTGCCATGGAGCTGGGGAGCCTCCTTCATCTCCAGCGATTGTGTCTACATACGAGGCTTAGCACAGCCTTGCCAAATCCCATCTAAATTCTTGTATGTTTGGGAGATTAAATGATAAACCCGCTTCCCACAGGGATGGCAGTCTTGCCATCTGTTTTGCTGTGAGCACCCCCTGAGCTGAAGCAATGGCCAGAATTGAGCAGAGTGCTGAGCAGAGGCAGCGAGGCAGGCCATTCAGGCAGCAAAAGGGAGAGGTCAACACTGTCCCTCTTCCAAAGAGAGGCTCCTTTTTGTCATCAGTTTTATTGAGCATTTTTTTTAAAAAAATTGCACAAGAAGAACAAAAAAGAGAATTATATAAATGAACTACATCACTGAGTTATGGGATCGGGGACGGGGGAGAGAAACATTATTTATTATAATTATTACATCTATATCTCCATCTCAAGTACTATTATACATATCATTTAAAGTTTTGCAAGTTCCAAATGTCCTCTGTAACAGAAAAGAACACACTCTTGTCATCCAATGTCAAAACTGGTAGTCATCCCTTCCCATACTGTCCAATGTTCTTCCTGTCTTCTCTTCAAGATCTTTGCATTTTAAAAATTGGCTTAATTAATTTAATCAATTTATTTGTTTAATGTATTTTATCTAATAACCTCCAGTGGTGCAGTGGGTTAAACTGCTGAGCTGCTGATCAAAAGGTTGGCAGTTTGAATCCAGGAAGCAGGGCAAGCTCCTGCTGTTAGCCACAGCTTCTGCCAACTTAGCAGTTCTAAAACATGCAAATGTGAGTAGATCAGTAGATACAACTTTTGCAGGAAGGTAACAGCACTCCATGCACTGGCCACATGACCTTGGAGGTGTCTACGGACAACACTGGCTCTTCGGTTTAGAAATAGAAATGAGCACCACTCCCCAAAGTCAGACACAACTAGACTTAATGTCAAGGGGAAATCTTTACCTTTAATTTTATCTAATTTTAACTTGCAATATAAATTTAAAAATTCACTTCCATTTGTTAGTAAATTGCTAAGAGCTCTGTCTCCCTGCACTCCTTTGCAGGCAAACGTGGTCTGCATGGTGTATGACGTCACGGAAGAGTCCACCATTGACAAGGTAAATGCGGTCGTGGATTGCCCTTTGTATATGCTGTCGCTCGTCTCTAGGAGAGTTCTCCATTCTATTCAATGGCTCCATTTTGCATTTCAGATTCGGACAAAATGGATCCCGATGGTGAACGGTGGAGCCGAAAAGTGTTCCAGGTACTATTCTATCTTATGCAATTGGGTGTTGTGCTGCAAATCCTATAATCATTTACCTTGGTATACATCCTGGTCTGGTCAGTGTAAGCACTTTGGAAGATGTTACAGAAAGTCAATTGGAGACTCCCAAATGCGTCAGGATAGCCAGAAGGCTTCCAGGCTCACCCTTGCAGCCAATTGCTGTCTCAGATGATAAAGGCATGCCCAGTACCACCTTTTGCACTTCTGCATCTTGGGCAGGAGAAGCCATCATCATTTCCTAAATTCCACAGTCAAAGCAATTCTACTGGAGAGTTAAACTCTCCTGCAATGTTTAGACCTTGGCCAATGTGTTTCCCATCTTTGGATCTCCTTTAGTAGGGTGCCAATTACCCCTCTTAGAGACATGTTCATCCCATTTCCATATTCGTTTGCAGGGTGTTTTTTTTTTAACATGTTCAGATGAAAATGTGTATCCCTTTTCACACATCTTGCTCCTAATGTATGCCTCTTTGCACACAATTTTGCCCAGTAAGCATTTTGGAAAGCCATTTTCCTTACTACAGTAGGGCCTCCACTTCTGCACTGCTTAGGGACTCAGGATTCCCATGGAAGTGGGAAAAAACACACATTAAAAACTTTTAAAAATCCTCTAGGGATTTCTTCGTCCTTCAATGCGACTGATAGAAGTTGACTACAATACATTGTACTGGAAGACCAAGAAATTCCTTGAAAGATCATATGAATTGTATGTGCAACATAACCTGCAATTGTGGAATGCCAGCTTTTGTACATTAATTTCCTTAATACAAATACATATTTTGTACCCACTTTTAATTGGTGATTAACATGGCAAAAAAATGAAAGTGTATGGGCAGTAAATGATATGTTTTGAATAAGGTATTGACTCTGAATTCAAAGGCACACAAAACATTTCTCTCTCCCATTTCTCGCTCAGTTCTGATATCTGCAGTTGAATCATTTTCTAAGAAAAATAAATTGTGAACATACCAAACTAGAATTTTGGAAAGAGGGATAGGTTGAAATGCTTTTAACATTTCCTCCCATCGTTATATGAGCCAAGCCTGGGTTGGCCAAGATGCATGAAATGCAGATCTTCCAAATGTGTGTTCCTTCCCCACCCCCTCCCTGGGATTGGAGAATCTGATTCCCATGGGAATCCTCTACTAGAACCACTGCCAGCCAGCAGCATTATGACACTTTCTCCTTATCCAAAATCTCTATTGCTCTTTTCTAGGATCCCCATCATCCTCGTGGGAAATAAATCTGACTTGCAGACAGGAAGCTCCATGGAAACCATCTTGCCCATCATGAACCAGTTCTCGGAGATTGAGACCTGCGTAGAGGTTCGAGACTATTTGTAGAATTAGGAAGCTGAAGAAAGGTTTCCATAACTCATAAAAGACTTTCCCTGTTCGAGCACCCTCCCAGTTTATCAGCTTCCATAACATGGGATGAGCCTGTGGCATTTGCTGCCCCTCCTACACTGCCATATAATCCAAATTATCAAAGCAGATAATCCACATTATCTGCTTTGAACTCAAATATATGAGTCTACGCTGCCATATAATCCAGTTCAAAGCAAATAATCTGATTTTTTATGTAGAAGGGGCTTTAGGCCACTAGTTGGAAAAGAAACATCTCAACAGTTGTTTTTTATGACTGCTATAATTAGAGTTTGGGGCAGTGATGTTTTGTACTGAAACTGGTCGTGCTGGCTAGGGGATTCTGGGAATTCTAGTCCAAAAAGTCATTTTCCAAAACTCCAACCTGTAAGTGGAATCTCCATCTCAATACTTTTAGTTTACATATGTACATATATTATATAATATGATGTTTTGTTTTTACTGATTTCTTAATGAATATTTGGTATGTCTGTATGTAAGTGCAATGCTTTACTTATGTTGGAAACTACCCTGCTATTGTTTTACTGTTGTATTTGGCCTCGGCCTCTTGTAAGCCGCACCGAGCCCTTCGGGAGATGTTAGCGGGGTATAAATAAAGGATTATTATTATTATTATTATTATTATTATTATTATTATTATTATGAGTCCCCTCGAGGAGATAGAATGGTATACAAATAAAGTATTAATATTTTTAGTAGTATTAGCATTATTATTATTATTATACAGGGAAAGAGTGTGCTGCTGGTGGTCTTCACAGGGCATCTGGTTGAGGAGCAGGGTAATCTAGCAAGGTTGTCCTTTATGCTTCTTCGTGCCTGTTCTCTGGGCCTCAAACATCATGCATTGGCATTTTAGAGGCATTCTGCTGGCTATTCAAGCAGGTTCAAGTCATGCATCTTCCCAGTCCACCCTCCCACAATACAACCCCAAGGAATTCTGTGAGACGTAGCCTAATCTAAAGGAATGATGTCCACAGTAGACAAGGAGGTTTCTCCCTCTAGTTCAAGGGTGGGCAACAACTCCAAATATTTCTGGACTGCATCTCACAGAATTTCTCCTTATGGCTTTGCTGATTAGACTGATGGAAATTGCCCCCAAAGTCTGAAGGTTCACAGTTGCCCATCCCTGTTCTAGTTCAGGCCACTAGTGCACGTTCTGCCAATTGCACGAATGTCATATCTTCCAAATGATGTGTTTATTGACCTTCTCGACCTTCTCGAGAGTTCTTTAAGTCACCTTCTCTGTAACACCCCCTTCTTTCTACATCAGTGCTCTGCAAAGAACTTGAAGAATATCTCCGAGCTCTTCTACTATGCCCAGAAAGCAGTTCTGCATCCGACGGCTCCTTTGTACGACCCAGAGGAGAAACAGGTAAGATGCCTGTTTGTATGCACCAGTTCAGTGATACAAAATTGTGAACTGAGAGGCAGGGACAACCGATCAGTTGGAATTCTGTCCACATTTTGAATCCACATTCTGTTCATGTCCAAACCAAATGGCCAAACCATGCTCGATTGCTCTTAGGACACAGTGGTCAATGTGTGTGGGTCTGGGGGTTACACCTTGTGTACGATCCGCCACAGATGGCACTGCTCTGGAAACAGAAGTGTCTGCTCATTCTCATCTGCTTTCCGGATTCCCTCCCCTTTTGGGAGTCATAACAAGGCATCTTATTGTGCATGAGAATTCTACCTCTAAAAGGCTTTATAGCCCTCTCCAATTTCTGATCTTGCCCACCTTATACCTGGCTCTGGTTATTGAGTTCTGTTTTGTTTCATTTTAATTGTTTTTTTGATATTCTGCTTGTTTTAATTAGATTGTTATTGTATTTTTTAAATGTGTTCTTTGTTTGTAAGTCTTGTTGCGTTGGGCTTGGTCCCACTTGTAAGCTGCCCCGAGCCCCTTCAGAGAGATGGTAGCGGGAAATAAAAATAAAATTGTTGCTGTTAATTCTGTTTTTAAAGTAAAACTGGAGGGGTGAAGTGCACCCTCCAGCCAGCGATAGTACCCAGAGCCCCCCAGGGTCAGACATTTTCTTTGTCCCAAAATGGCCTTTAAGTGATATTGGGAGTAGTTTCATCATGATCTGCCCAATGGTCAGTTTAGGCCCAGGATAGACCTTCCTGTGGTTAAAAAGACCTGTTTTGTATCATAATGGGCAGAGGGAGGGGCATGGTTGAAATGCTCCTCACCGGGCACTTCGGTGGGGAACATGAGTTTTACTTTGTAAGGGATGCAGCCCATTGGTCTCCACAGTTCATGGAATTATTATGGGAGCATGTTGGGGACTTGCATCTGGCACCTCCACTTTAGCTAGCCCTCTCCTATATTCCTATACTTCTATATAAAGCCCCCCTGGTGGTGCTGTGGGTTAAACTGCTGAGCTGCTGAACTTACTGACTGAAAGACTGGCAGTTTGAATCTGGGGAGTGGGGTGAGCTCCTGCTGTTAGCCCAGCTTCTGCCAACCCAACAGTTCGAAAACATACAAATATGAGTAGATTAAGAGGTACCACTTCTGTAGGAAGGTAACGGCGCTCCATGTAGTCATGCTGGCCACATGACCTTGGAGGCATCTATGGACAACGCCCGCTCTTTGGCTTAGAAATGGAGATGAGCACCACTCCCCAGAGTTGGACACGACTAGACGTAATGTCAGGGGAAACCTTTACTCCTATATTCTGTCTTTCAGCTACTGGTGCCTTCATCTGACTAGGATGCCTTGCATGGCCTCCTTTTAAATCTCACACTTTCTCTTTTTTCCCTCCCACCTCTGTACCATTACCGCAGCTGCGACCAGCATGTACACGAGCACTCACTCGGATTTTTAACATGTCTGACCAGGATAACAACCAGATCCTAAGCGACGACGAGCTGAACTATTTCCAGGTGTGTTTCCACTATCACATAGCTGAAAATCATTGCGATTCCTCAGAAACACTTTCTGCAGTGATGCATCTAGCATACTTTTTAGAGGACTGGGTCTGTAACATCAGTCTCTTCTTTAAAAGAGTTTTTAGACCTTGGCACTTGGAGTGGAATGCAGATAAATGCACACAGGGGTCTCCTTCAAGGCTGGAGGAAGGCGGTTTCAGTTTATTATGAGTGTTGTGCTTCTTTGTTTTTAAACAAAACCAGTTTGTAGCGCTAGAGTGGGCTCTTGGTATCCTCCAGGTTTTGTTCCAGGACCCCAAATCTGTGTATGTTCAAGTTCCATGATATACGAAGGCAAAGCAAAATGGCATTCCCTCTGAAAAATAGCAAAATCAAGATTATTTGAATAGTTTCAAGCCATGGATAGTTGAATCTTGTGAATGCAGAATCCATGAATATGGAGGGCAGACTGTATGTGTGGTTAAAGGTTCTGAACAATGGATGCTGGAATCTCATGTGCAAGTTGGTTGCTTGAATTGATGGTGTTACCAATGCCCTGCATTTTGTATTGTTTCCCACCATGACCACTGTCTTCAGGTGACATCTTTTGTTTTAGTTAGCCATAAAATCCATCTTTGAATAAGAGAGAGGAGAGGATTTGTTTGCCTCAGAAGAGTTGTGCTTGTGAAACCTATGACTGCTGGTTGAACATTACATATTATATATTCTCGAGTATAAGCTGACCCGAATATACACCGAAGTATTTAATTTTACCACAAAAGAACTGGGAAAATGTATTGATTCAAGTTTAAGCTGAGGGTGGGAAATGAAAAAGCTACTGGTTAATTTCAAAAATAAAAATAGATCCCAATACAATTACATTAACTGAGGCATCAGTAGGTTATTTTTGAATATTTACATAAAACTGTAATTTAAGACTGTCGAACTCTGATAAAACCATTATTCTAATCTTCAGTGTAAATGTGCTTACGTATCCTTCCAATAATAATAAAGAGAGTAAAATAATAAATGTAATAAATAATAAAGTAAATAATGGAACTGCAATAATAACAGTAATAATAGAGTAAAATAATAAATGTAATAATAACGATAATAAAAAGAGTAAAATAATAAATGCAATAATAATCTTGTGGTAATAATAATAATAATAATAATAATAATAATAATAATAATAATAATAATAGAGTAAAATAATAAATAACCTTGATTCGAGTATAAGCCAAGGGGGGGGGGGGGTTCCCACTTATACTCGAATATATACAGTACATAGTTAGGGACCTAAATGCCCCAAGAGTTACCAAGTGGCCCCCTTCTTCTTGGGTGGGCATGGTGCTTTATATTTAGAATTCTCTCCTTTTTCTGATTGGCTTCCTTGTGTCTCTTGGGAAGTAGAAGTCCTGCTTTGGAAACCCATTGGCCCCTCAAGCTCTTGAAGACGTGAAAATGGTGGTCTGGAAGAACACGACAGATGGGGTCCAGGACAACGGCCTGACGCTCAACGGTAACAGCACCAGAGAACTCCTCCATTTTAGGCCAGAGGCCAATCTCAGGATTTGTGGCGGATGAGAGAATCAGGCAGGCAGCAGCTGAGCAAAGCCGTGTGTCTGGCCCAGGTTCCATGGCTGTTTGATTCCATGGCTGTTCAGCCAGCTATACTTCAGCCTTAAGGGCGTTAGTGGCTTCTTCAAAAAGCTTGTGCCCTGCCACTTGAAAAGGCCATTATCCTGTTTTAAATTCATATGCATTATTCCTTGCTTCCTGTCGCAACTCTGTGTCGGTTTCATTCTGTTTCAGTGACCTCAGGAACCAGTTAGTAGTTGCAAAGGCAACTGATAGGGGACTCTTTACTGCTGCATATAAGGAGAAGCTAAAATGAGTATCAGGGAATGCCTCTTGAAAATAATAATTTGTAGGAGCAATTGAAGTCAATGCAGCAAGACAAGAGTCTTCCAAGCACGATGCCTCCTAGCTGGAAATTCAAGCTACAAGGATTATTGCCCACACGCCCCAATTAGAACAAGTTGTTAAAAAGCCAGAGCCTGTCTGTGCAACTAGTGTGTGTGTGTTCAGCATTTGTGAGGCACTTGTAGAAGTTAAGTGTGATGTCCTCCTGTTCTGGCTCATGGCAAGATGTTTGTATGCCATGGTTTAGCATTGGCATTTAGCATGTGCAAAGATGACGGATGTTATCTTGATGCATCCCAAAAGTCATGTTTGGGAGTGGTGTGTACATGACAACCAAGAAAGCACCAGATATCTGTTTTTTCCTGTGGTTCAAACTTGAGAGTATTCCTTTTGAGGAAGTTCTGTGGTAGCTTTATGTGACTGCAAATGCACTTGGCTCCAATGCTCTTTTTTTCTCTTCCAGGCTTCTTGTTTCTCAATACTCTCTTCATCCAACGAGGACGACATGAAACCACATGGACCATCCTGCGCCGCTTTGGCTATGACGATGCTCTAGAGCTTACAGATGACTATCTCTGCCCACTGTGAGTAGACCGTTTACTTATTACAGAATTTTTGTAAGGTGGAAGAATATGCATACTACTGATGTGTGAAGCTATGGGAAGTATGATCCCATAGGGTCTTCTCTGTGGTGGCCCCTTGACTTTGGAACTTGCTACCTGGAGAGATTAGGCAAGTGCCCACCCTGTCAGCCTTCAGGAAGAGCCTGAAAACCTGGCTGTTTTGGTGTATCTTTGAGAGATCACTATAACCCCCACATTATGACCAGCTCACTACAATCTGTCCACTGATGCACTTTACCTCATCCTTTAGTAATATTCACCCCATTGATTGTTCCCATCTGAAATCACCTGCCGGCACACTACTCTATTCATCCATCTCACCCAGGGTTTTTATACTTTTATATCTTATTCTACCCCTTGTAACTTGGCCCATCCCATTTTGCTTTTTTTGTTTTCTCATTTCATTTTCTGTATTGATTTTGTATTAATTTGTTTTGTTCACATTTCATTTCATGTTATTATTTGCTGTATGTACTTTATTTTGATTTGTTGTAATTATTTTGGGCTTGGCCTCATGTTAGCCGCCCTGAGTCCCCGTTGGTGAGATGGTGGCAGGGTATAAATAAAGTTTTATTATTTATTATTATTCTGAAGCCTAATCAACTCCAGTTTTTAGTCTTCCTCTGGGTTGATCTTGTGGTTTTCTTTAAGTTCAGTCAACCAAACTGGCTGGAGCTGATAGGGATTCTAGTCTGTTCTACTCTTGTCTAGGACAATTAATCAAGGTTTGCATCATAACATTCCTAGGTCTGTTTTAAACATGTCTTCTTGTTGTTGTTGCTGCTGTGTACATTCAAATCGTTTTCCAACCAGCTATGACTCTATCATAGGACTTTCTTGGTAAGATTTGTTTGGAAGATTTTTTTTTTCCCTGTCAGGAGCAACTTGAGAAACTACAAGTTGCTTCTGTTGTGAGAGAATTGGTCATCTGCTTTCAGTCACCAGTCCTGCCAGCACAAGAGTTTAACCTATTGCACCACCGGGTATTGTCATTGCGTTCCTTTAAGGCTGATAAAGTGTGACTTGCCCAATGGGATTTCATAGCTGACCAGAGGTTTGAACCTTGGTCTGTATTGTTGTAATCCAGCACTGAAAGCACTGCACTGTGATGTCTCTCTGAATGAGAGGCGGTGGTCTCTCCCCTGCTGAAGAAACCAGACTTAGATTGTTCGGTTCCCTCCATTTACCGCCCAGTTTCGAATCTCTCGTTCCTGGGCAAGGTGATTGAGAGGGCAGCAGCGGAGCAGTTGCAGCAATTCTTAGATGACACAGCCGGACTAGATCTCTTCCAGTCCGGCTTCCGTGCGGGGCATGGGACATAGACTGTGCTGGTCTCCATCACGGATCACCTTCGATGCCAGCTTGACCAGGGCGGGTCAGTGCTGCTTGTGTTATTGGATCTCACAGCAGCATTTGACACAGTCGACCACAATCTTTTGACCCACCGCCTTGCTGTTGCTGGAGTCAGGAGGACAGCTTTAAACTGGCTGTCCTCCTTTCTTCACAACGGTGGACACCGAGTGGAGAGGGGAGGCCTGGTCTCTGAGAGGTCCCCTCTATCTTGTGGGGTTCCTCAAGTGGCCATTCTCTCCCCTCTGTTGTTTAACATCTATATGCGACCACTTGCTCAGCTGGTTCGAGGTTTTGGGCTTGAGTGTTATCAGTACGCCGATGACACTCAGCTGGTGCTGAAGATGGAAGGCCGACCGGACTCTGTACCCGATTGTTTCCATCAATGCCTCGAGGCTGTTACTGGATGGTTGTGTGCCAGCAGGTTGAGGGTGAATCCACAAAGATGGAGATCCTATGGCAGGGTCGACCAGTTAGTGGGGACATCCAGCTGCCTACCCTGGATGGCGAGGCGCTACACCCATCATCATTGGTAAAGAGTCTGGGAGTCCTTTTGGACCCTCTGCTGATGATGGAGGCCCAGGTCTCCGCCATTTATTTATTTCTTATTTAAGAGCAAAAGACAATAACATCAATTAACAAGACAATTCTAGCAATAACAACAATTAACAGAAAACAATAATTATTATAGGCAAAAACAACCATAAAACCAATAAAAGCAATAAAACCAATACAAACCTCATTGACGGTCAGCGTTTCACAATCTCATAGTTAAATTCCAATTCCACAATTGTCAGTCCTTTCAGTCCTATCCATCTGGTTTCCATATCTAATTGTCAGATTGCCCAGAGGCCTGGTCCCACAACCACATCTTTACCTTCCTCCTGAAGGTGAGGAGGGATGTTGATGCCCTGATTTCCCCCAGGAGTGAGTTCCACAGGTGAGGGGCCACCACTGAGAAGGCCCTGCTCCTCGTCCCCACCAGCCTCACTTGTGATAGCGGTGGGGTCGAGAGCAGGGCCTCCCCAGATGATCTCAAATTCCGGGGTGGGACGTAGAGGGAGATACGTTCGGACAGATACACTGGACCGGAACCGTAAAGGGTTTTGTAGGTCAAAACCAGCACCTTGAATTGTGCTCGGAACTGAACCGGCAGCCAGTGGAGCTGACACAGCAGGGGGTGGTGTGCTCCCTGTATGTCGCTCCGGTGAGCAATCTGGCTGCCGCTCGCTGGACCAGTTGAAGTTTCCGAACAGTCTTCAAGGGCAACCCCACGTAGAGTGCGTTGCAGTAATCTATTCGGGATGTAACAAGAGCGTGGACCACTGTGGCCAGATCAGACTTCCCAAGGTACGGGCGCAACTGGCGCACAAGTTTTAATTGTGCAAAAGCTCTCCCGGCCACCGCCGAGACCTGGGGTTCCAGGCTCAGTGATGAGTCCAGGATCACTCCCAAGCTGCGAACCTGCGTCTTCAGGGGGAGTGTAACCCCGTCTAACACAGGCTGTAACCCTATACCCTGTTCGGCCTTACGACTGACCAGGACCACTACCTGATTAGGTTTAGACTTACTGTACCTCCCAACCTCCGCAGGGGTGGTGGACCCATTAAAATGGTCCGCCCCAGGAGACTTATGGATCCAAATGGATTCCTGACGGCTCTTGGGGATCTTCCCACCTCTCTGGCTGGCGATTCTGTCGATGCCTTGGTCTCTCGCTGGAATTCTGAGAATTGTCTTCTTTCATCTGCGGCAGGCTAGATGGCTGGCCCCCTACTTGTCCAGGGACGACCTAGCTACGGTGATCCAGGCTACGGTCATCTCAACGCCCTCTACATTGGCCTTCCTCTGTCGGTGATCCGGAAGATCAAGTTGGTACAAAATGCAGCTGCTCGGCTTCTTGCGGGAATTCCGATGAGATGCCACATAACCCAATCTTACTACAGCTGCATTGGTTACCAATTGAGCACCGGATCACTTTCAAAGTGATGGTACTCACTTTAAGGCCTTGCATGGTCTGGGGCCGATGTACCTGAGGGACCGCCTCACCCCCTACCAACCCCAGAGATCCCTCCATTCTGAGGACCAAGATCTATTGGAAGTCCCCAGTGTCAAGACCTTGCGTCTAACAGCAACCAGACGCAGAGCCTTCACAGCAGTGGCACCATCACTCTGGAATACTCTGCCACCTGAAGTCCGTGCCTTGCGGGACTTACCAGCTTTCCGCAGGGCATGTAAGACATACCTGTTTCGACAGGCTTTTAATGTTTGATAGTGTTGTTTTTAAATTGTTTTAAATTGCTTTTAAATTTTGTTAGATTTTAGCTATTCTTGTAAGCCGCTCCGAGCCCCAGGGGAGTGGCGGCATATAAGTTTAAATAATAAATAAATAAATAAATGCACCTAGAACTTTCCTTATTTTGGGTGGACTCCAGTCGCATGTATGGCAGAGGAACATCACTTGTCCACTCGGGCACTTGCTGGCTGAAAAAAGACCCAGAGAACTGATGTATTCTCTGATGTCCTGATTCTGCCTTGACCTGAGCCCCTATTGTACCTTTCAGAGTCCGGGTGCCGCATGACTGCTCCACGGAACTCAATCACTTTGCCTATCAGTTCCTGCAGAGGATGTTTGAGAAGCACGACAAGGTGAGCTGGAGAGAATCTTCTCAAGGCACTTTGCCTCTCCCAGAATCTGAATCCTTTTCCTGGCTTCGGCCTGGCCATTTGCACTTTGGCAGCTTCTCCCTTTGTGCACATTTGCTATCTAAAATGACACACCTAAAGCTGTTTGAGGCATAGATTCTGGGAATATGAGACATTCTGGTCTGGAGGATTCTGGGAGCTGTGGTTCAGACAAGTTACCTTTCCGGACTCTGGTTGAACCTTCAGAATTTGCTGTCTAGTTCAGTATCCTGGTTCCAGTGTTCAGTGGACAGAAGCCACAGGTTCCACCCTCAGGAGTGTATATGGAAGTAGAAAGGCAGACCAAGGAGATGAGGCTAACCTTCCAGGAGAAAATAAGTGGGATTCAGCTCAGATCTGAGTCCAGCATGGTCTTGCTTTGATGTGATGGAAGAGTGAATTTCATCTGCTATGTCCTTCTGTTGGGGGTTAACACCACCATGGCCTCCTTTCCTTTCTCACTTTGTCCTGTCATATTTCATCCTGCATGACAATGAAATGCGAATGAAAAGACTACGCTAGTTTTGGCTCACTTAACAGGTTTTGGCCTACTCACTCTCCTCAGGACGATACTAGCTTTAGCCCACTGATTCCAACAGGCTTCTGTCTACTAACTCTTTCAGTGCGTGACTCACACTTTTGTAATCAAAAATACCCTGTTAATTTTTAATATTTCTGACACTTGGCTGCTGTTCCTTTTCTACCTGGGGCCTCCGATGGTGTTCCTAGAAGGAAGAATCATGGAATCGGTTGGAAGAGACCGCAAGGGTCATTCAACCCAACCTCCATCCTCTTTGAGGCCTATGATGGTCCTGCTGGCACCCAGTTGATCTTCTCTTTTCTTCTGCAGCCAGAGGAAGCCATTATTGGCATGTTAGGAGAAGGTGTACATTGGCCCTTGGTTTGATAGCTGGCACCAGATTGTCCTTTGCAAGCCACTCAATGACAATTCATAATAAAGGAAAGTTTTCCTAGAAAATTGAGAGAATCTCTGTACAGCTATTAACCCAGTGGCCCATCCAGACCGGCAGGGAGAGAGGGTTCTTGTCTGCCATGCAAGGTGAGCTTTGGCTGCAGCAACAGGAGCATCGTGAGAGTGGAGGCCAACATGGGATGCCGCTCAGGTGCCCATGTCTTTCCCTTGCATCTCCACAGGACCGTGACGGCGCCCTCTCCCCGGCTGAGCTGCAGAGCTTCTTCAGCGTGTTCCCCTGCGTGCCCTGGGGCCCCGAGCTCTACCACACGGTATGCACCACTGATAAAGGCCTGCTTTCCCTGCATGGATTCCTCTGCCAGTGGACGTAAGCGCAGCCCTCTCTGCCTTCCCTCCTTTCACATCAGTTTGGCGAGATTCTCCCTCATTCCCTGTAACGGGCAGCTTTCTCTGTGTTTGGATTTCCCCAGGCTGGTGGCCTACCTGGACATCCATCGCTGCTTGGAGCACCTGGGCTATCTGGGCTACCCCATCTTCTCTGAACAGGACTCCCAGGTCCACGCCATCACAGGTGAGTCATCTCTCTCCTGTGGTTTGTATCTCAAACACCCTTGGGAATGAGCAGAGGATGCTCCTCTGTCCTGCCACAATGGCGGATTTTGCCCTTCCTGTTGCTGCTGCTCAGGTCTCTGCTTCTGTGTTGCAGAAATAGGGTGTGCATTGAGATTGGGAGTTAACCTTTGGAAAGAAAAGGTCACCAAGCAAGCTGCCTGTCTCCTGCCCCGGAGAGATCACAGTAGCTTGCTTAGCAGGATCTATCCAGATGCAGACGGAAGGAAAGGCCCCGTTTTCTCACATCTCACCTCTCCCCTCCTTCCCCGCTTTCTTCTGCTCCAGTTACACGGGAAAAAAGAATCGACCTGGAGAAGGGCCAGACCCATCGGAATGTCTTCCTCTGCAAAGTGGTTGGGTCCCGGGGTGCCGGCAAGTCTGCGTTCCTGCAGGCCTTCTTGGGGAAAAACATGGCTGTGAGTGCGGGGATCCTCCCTCGATCTTACCCTATCTCTGGTGCAGTGAGTCTTGAAAGGCAGAAAAATGTTTTAGAATGAAATGTTCTGTGGTCCTTTTAGCCTTCTAGATTAGTTGTACTCAAACGGATAGTCCCTGATTTGTTTGGATCCGCAAGTGCTCTTTGGGGAATTTTCCCGAAAACTCTATAAATACTGTAATAATATGACTCAAATAATGTACTTGTCTCTGACAAACTGGAGCAGAGCGATTGCTGGTACATCCTGTCAGATAATTTCAGAAGCATGTCTGTAGATGGCTATGATCTTGAAAAAAATGCCATTAAAAAAATTAAGGACATATATTCTTGTTTGTGGTGAAGATTGTTACTCTGATTAGGCTATAACACTGTTACTCATCCCATCTTTCTGAAACCTGTATGTCTGTCAGTAGAATATAAAATGCCCCTGCCTTCTCTTCTGATTCCAGGCCCAGAGTGAGTCCAAGGGAAAAGAAGTCTCCTATACTATCAATACAGTTCAAGTCAATGGACAAGAAAAATACCTAATAGTAAGTCTTTCTATTGCCATTCTTATAAATGTACTGTATTGCTTTTATTGAGATAACATTTGCATCTTTATATTGGCGCTAATACTTATCTAGTCATTATTCATTTTCTCTCTGTTATTATCCCTTTGTCTCCTAAGTTTATACCCTGGTTTCTTCCTTTAACCTAACCGAAACACAACTGTAAAGTTATATTTAAAATGTTTTTGGTTGCAAATTTTGTAGGAATACACCCATCTCTCCTTTTCTGTATTAAAATATTTTGACTGGGAAAAATATATTTCAATATATATTTTAATGCTCTTTGTTTTTCTTTGACATATGGACATATCCATTTGTTCTTTAATAAAACAATTGATGGGCAACAGTCCAGTGAAAACAAGACCAGATCAGCGGATAAAAACCTTGATTAACTTCTAAATAGCAGAGTAACAGACTGCACAAGACATCCAAGAGCACTCCAAAAAGTTATGCTCAGTGGAAGAACACAATAAATTTTTAGCCAACAATAAAGGAATACTGAAATTGGTGAGACTTAAGCCATGCCTAGCTAGTTCCACTAACTTCTACTGGATGCAGTTCAACTTTATTTATTTATCATGTCAGGAGAAAATTGAGGATACAGTTATGATATAGTTAAAAAATCACAAACAAATTTAAAAACTTGGCAGTATGCTAAATTTCCTTTGACCAGAATCTGGTCACTTGGAGTGTCTCGCTGTAAGAAGGTCCTCTATTGTGCATGTGGCAGGGCTCAGACTGCATTGTAGTAGGTGGTCTGTGCTTTGCTCTTCTCTGCACTTGCATGTCGTGGACTCCACTTTGTAGCCCCATTTCTTAAGATTGGTTGTACATCTCGTAATGCCAGAGCGCAGTCTGTTCAGTGCCTTCCAAGTTGCCCAGTCTTCCGTGTGCCCAGAAGGGAGTTTCTCATCTGGTATCAGCCATGAATTAAGATTCCGAGTTTTAGCCTACCACTTTTGGACTCTCGCTTGCTGAGGTGTTCCTTCGAGTATCTCTGTAGATCTTAGGAAGCTGTTTCTTGAGTTAAGGCGTTGGCATGCTGACTGATATCTGCATAGAGGATGGGCTGGAGATGTCCATGCCTTGGTTCTTTCATTACAGGCTGCTACTTCATATTGGATATCAGGTGCTGCAATACCAGCTAACCAGTATAATTTCTCCAGCGGTTTTGACCGTAGACATCCTGTGATAGTGTGGCATGTCTCATTAAGAGCCACATCCACTGTTTTAATGTAGTGAGATGTATTCCACCCTGGACTTGTTTTATTCAGCAGCAGAGTAGCAAAGTGCAAGAGCAGATGTATTCACTGTGTTTGGTTGTGATCCCCAGGTTGTGTCAATCAGCTTTCGTAATATATTGTTTCTAGTACCCACTTTTTTCTTGATAGTCAAGCAGTTTTTCTTGTAAGTCAGAGCACAGTCCAGAGTAACTCCCAGGTATTTTGGTGTGCTTGTCTGTTCTTAAGATGAAAAGCACACGTCTGCATTTTAGATGGATTAGGAATCAGCTGGTTTTCCCTGTAATAGGCAGTAAGGGCACCTAAAGCTTCAGAGAGCTTCTGTTCAACGCTTTCAAAACTCCCTGCTTGAGTGGTGATGGCATGATCATCAGCGTAGAGGATACTCTCTGTCCCTTCTGGCAATGGCTGGTCATTTGTGTAAATGTTGAACATTGATGGAGCAAGCACACTCCCCTGAGGCAGGCTGTTTTGTTTTTGCCATCTGCTTCTCTGACCCTGGAACTCAACAAAATAGCTCTTGTTTTGCAGCAAGTTTCCTATGAAGTGGATGAGGCCAGGAAGAAATGAGTGTATATATGTTTAGCAGGTTCAACAGCATGAACAAAAAGCTGTCCACAAAATGATCCAAAAATAGTGGGCCCTGTCTTTGTATTTTTTATCTCCAGCTTCACGAGATTGATGTGGATGCGGAGTTTGCAAAGGCATCAGATGCGTCTTGTGATGTTGCCTGCTTATTGTATGATTTGACGGATCACAAGTCTTTCAACTACTGTGCTAGTGTTTATAAGGTAAGCTTCATCCCATTCCACTCCCCAGGCTTCATAACTCAATGGTCCAGTTTTTCCCAGAAGCATCAAAGAGGGGTTAAATGGACCAAATGGTTAAGATCTGGGCATCACCAGTGACAGCTGGAAGTCTATAGGCAGAGCAGGAATTATGCCTGGTTTAACCATATTTAGAAATGTGCATTTTCTTTCTTTGGACTACAGCACCCAGAGTTCCCCAACCGAGATAACACTATGTAACAAAATTTTATATGTGTCTGTGTGTGTATTTTCCTAGTTTGAAAGCATTATTTCTGTTTAATTGTGTAGTACTTATCTTGAAAGGAGCTGTTATACTCCAGAAACTGTTGCTTTTGTGGCTGCCTCGAACTAGGTTGAATGGGTTGAGATTTGATGGGATAGTCATTGAAAAACTAGAACAAAATGTGCTGCAGGATGTCCCTTCCACAACGTTTTTGCAGTTCAACAAGCTTTTTCCATGTTTTTCTTAATAGAACCATTTAGAAAATGACATTTATAACTCAGGAACATAAATTTTGCTCCACAGTGTAATCAATAGCCATATGGGCTGTGGGATTCTGGGTGACATAGTGCAAAACATCCTTATGTAAATCAAATTTTAACTTAACGTGGGGAGATTGATAGTGGTCAAGACCAAAACAAGGTTTGTGAAGTAAGCATGAAAAATGCATACCATGTTGTCAGTATCCTTAATAGAACTTACAATATACAAACATTAGGAAACTGTGGATGATTTGGATATTACTCTTTACTGGAAAAAAATATGGGAATAAACTTTGAATAAAAAGTTAACAGTGAGGTGTAGAGGTTTGCAAGAAGCACTTGGACTGATTTATTGGTATCTTGATATCTTTTACTGAATGTATGAATGCAGCCGCGGATGTTGTGTATAAAATTACCTTCAGGCTATGTGTAGAAGGTGTACCTGAAATATACATGAATGTCATGTTTAGACTTGGATCCCCTTCTCATTAGAGACCTATGTGCTGATACAGGCATTCCACCATCCGAACAAAATCCCAAATGCTTCTTGTCTCAAGCATTTCGGATCAGCGAAACTCAGCCTTCATTAGAGGCAGAAATAACACTGAAAGGGTAGGGCTTGGTTCTTGCCCCACAAAAATTGAAGAATAGTTCAATGTGTTTCAGCAAACATTTCATTCAAAAACAAGAGTGATGTGCATGTAAAATGAAACAGCCAGGTTGGCGTAAGCCTTGCATGCTTAGGAAGAGTCAGCACACGTTCCTACTGTAGGATCAGCTGAGAAGAATCCCATTCTTCCCACCTCAGGCTTTATTGCACTGTTGACTGCAGTTACATTGCTGCATCCCAAGACTTAAGGTCTTCCGCCTTCTCCATCTGCCCAATGCTGATTCTGACAAAAACTTCCAGCTAGACAGAGGACAAGGAGGAACTGGGAGGATTGGGGGCATGCAAAGACTTTCTAAACAGAAGCTTCTTTGTCGCCTATCTACTTTAGAGCCTATTATTTCATGTAGAATGTAAGGAGAGCCATTTAGTATTTGTGTGCCTCTAATTCCCTAAGTTTTTGAAAGTTTTTGGTTGTGGCACTCAAACAACAGAAGAATCTCACCAGGATGGTAAAACCTGCAACTGTTTCAATACCAGGCATTTTGCATAGCTGTTTTTGAACTGTTGTATGATTTTCCTGCATAGTTTTGATCTGTTTTTATCATGTTCAACTGTATAGTGATATGTAGTTGTTTTCACTCGATTGCCTTTCCTGCCCTGATATCCAAAAGCAGGGGAGGTGGCTTCAGAATAGGTCTTTATAGGTTGAAAAACAGATAAAGATGAGGAGAGCCATTCCTTCTTATTCCTCCCATGCATCTTGCTAACAAGCGCAAGCTGCTGCTTCTTAACGCCAGAGACTCCATTACCAGCGACAACAGCTTTTAAAAGCCTATTGTGCAAATAACCTCCACGGAGCCATTTGTGCTCATGGCCTTGACACGAACGCTATGGTGGCGGATGCTTTCCATTTGCCAAACAAAGACATTCCCTCCCCGTTTCTTGAGGTCATAAATTTTCTACCTGTCGGTTTATGACAAAAGGGTTACTATCTTGAGAGCGAATGCTTTCCCTTTCCCTCCCCCTCCCTTCTCTTTCAGCGGTGGGTTCATTTATGAATATTTATAAATCACTTAGTACCTGAACATTTCCAAGTGGTAAACAACGACAGGTTCACTGTTTGTGGAGTCTTTTCACCATTAGCCTTGACATTAATTTAAAAAAAATGTTTAAGAGAGTTAAAAATAACACATCTCAATTTAGTCTATGAGTGGCTGTGAATCTTAGGATCTTCGGTGGGTTGCAGTATTTAAATCTGGATAGCAACTTTCTCCATTTGAAATGAATGATTCATAGGCTCACACAGTTGGAAGAGACGTCAAGTGCCATCCAGTCCAGCCCCATTCATTCTGCCAGGCAGAACAACACCATCAAAACCCTCCAGACAGATGGCCATGTAGCTTATTTCCAAGCATCCAGAGAAGGGGTCTGCCATACCCAAATCCCAGAGTTGGGTGGGACCTCCAAAGGCCATCCAGTCCAGCCCAATTCATTCTGCCAGGTAGGAAAGGCACAGTCAAAGCCCTCCCGGCCAGATTTATTGATTTATTTGTTTTCTGTATTTATATTCCACCTTTCTCGCCTCGAAGGGGATTCCAAGCGGATCACAGAACGCATATAAAATAAACATGCAGTGTCGTTATACACTGACAAGATAGACAATTTCACATAGATAGAGGTATATATAGGCTTTCCCATCTTTGGCATCTTGGAGGCTGTGCTTGGTTCCAGCCATGGGGGGATGTTGTTGCTCCATCTTTCCTGCCAAAGAGCTCTTGTTCGTAAACTTTCTCCTTGATCATATTGTCTGACATTTTTCTGGCATTTCCTTCTGGGTGCTTTAAAGAGGTACCCATTTATCAACTCACATTGCTGTTTTCAGACTGCTTAGGTAAGCAGAAACTGGGCTAAAGGTCAGGAACTCACCCCGACCCAGGCTTTGAAATGTCAACCTTTTGATTGGCAAGATTTACTGCAGCTGGTGGTTAATCTGCTGTGCTAAAGCCTGGCCATCCAGCTTCTGTTTGACACCCTCTATCACATTCCCAGGCAGCCTATTCCCAGGCAGCCTATTCCAGCCTTTCCGTTATGACTTTCTTTCTGATATTCAAGTGGAATATCATTCCCTGCCTCTTGAATCCATTCCTCCACATCCTAGTCTCTGTAGCAGGAGAAAACAAGCCTGCTCGCTCTTCATACGACTTCCTTTCAGATATTTAAATGTTGTTGTTATTAGTATGCCCTTCTCAACCTTCCGTTCTCCAAGCTGAACAAACCCAGCTCACTCTGAGATTTCCAGGCCTTTGACCATTTTAGTCGCCCTTCTCCGGATCCGTTCCCTTGTCCTAGATCAAACAGATCCAAGCATCTCGAGGACAGATCTCATGCTTAAACCAAAAGAGGAAGAAAAAAAAAAAGAGGAAAGCCAGACCAGAAGAGCAGAAAGGAAGTCAAATAAAGATCTTTTCGTCCTCTGGGATGTACCCTCCCCCCCAAAAAAATAATCTTTCTTCAGTGTTTTTCTGATCATTTCTCACTGTTAATTGTCGCCTCTACAGCAGCATTACCTGGATGGACAGATCCCGTGCCTCTTTGTGGCCACCAAGTCAGACCTGCCTGAGACGTCTCTGCCGCATGGCCTCTCGCCCACTGAGTTCTGCCACAAGCATCGCCTCCCACCACCGCTTTACTTCACCTGCAATGGACAAGGCCCGCCCAGCCCCGCCATTTACGCCAAGCTGGCCACTGCCGCTACCTTCCCGTTAGTACTTCTTTGCTCTTGTTTATATTATTCTCTCAGGCATTGAGACAGGCATGGGCTCACTTGGACCCTCCCTCCAGGTGTTTGGACTCCCAACTCCCACAATTCCTAACAGCCTAGCCGGTAATCTCTTAGGAATAGTGGGGGTTGGAGTTCAAAACACCTGGAGGGAGGTCCCAAGTTGACCCAAGTCTTCATTAGGATCCTCTGAAGATGCCAAACAAAAAAAGGAGAAAATGCTACTAGATCACATTGGCCAGACAGCCTGGAAACAAACCACACAATAATACTCCAGCTGCCTCAACTGTTGTTTTCTTTAGTGAGGTGAGTTGAAAAATGCAGTCCCATCGAAAGCAACGGAAATGCAAGGGGAAGCTAAGCCACCTTTTCTCACTTCAAGCCTTATCCCAAGACACAGTTTGAAAGAATTTGAGGAATCAGATCTACCTGGGCCAAAGTCAGTATGGATGCAACAAGTCCATAGACAGGAGGCTGATTGAAAACACACTCCTCTTCATAGTGCGTGTTTCCAAGCAGCCTCCCATCTAGGAAAATATCCTCTTTGCAGAAGGTTTCCCAAGATGTTACACTGAGGACAACACAAAACAAGTTTGCATACCAAAAGCCAAGGCTGTAGTGCTAGCAATACCTAACTGATCACTGTGTTCCTTCTGGCTGCAACTCCCTTTATGGAGGGCTCCATATTATGAGTGGGAGTCAGCTGCTGCATTTAGCTCGAAAAAAAGTTTTGTGTTGCTCAAAAATGTGCCCTTTTGACATTGTGCAGAAAACATTGCTCCTTTCTTTTCTTGTCGGCACCTCAGGCCGGACAGACGTGGCACAGCCATCGCCGAAGCTTGGCCAAGCCCATTACTTTCCCACGCCAAGCGCTTCCTGTGCTTCCCTGGCTTTTATAAATGCAAGCATTTCCCCAAGGAGAATGGGGAATCCATTATTTATACACAACCACATCCAGAAAGGGCAGCAGAGAGCCAGCCAGTCTTGGGACCTGCATTAAGAGCTTTATTTATTTATACCACAATTCTTAAAACATCTTAATATATCTGTGAAGAGTGCGAGGAAAAGGGTGGCGGTGGGAGGGGAGAGCTCATGTGATAAAAGAAATATATGTTGGAGGAAGGCTGGGAAAGTGCTCTCTCTGAGTGATAACATCCTTTGCATTTCAAGGATCTAATTTTATCTTGCTCCCTTTAATATTCAGCTTGTCCGAGTAGAGATGGATATTAAGGCTTGGGCAATAGATCTGCTAAAGGCTAGCAATACAGCTATTCATCTGGATGGCGCTGTGTGGCTGAAAGGCTGGGCATCGCTAGTGCTTCTCTTGTCTCTCTTGCTCAATCTTTTGGAACTCTACTTGGCCTAAATCTGCATATTTGTCCTAAACAGAATGGACATGTTAAATCGATGTGACTTAACATAAACTTGGAGCCCCTGGTGGCGCAGTGGGTTAAACCCCTGTGCTGTCAGGACTGAAGACCGATAGGTCGCAGGTTCGAATCCAGGGAGAGGTGGATGAACTCCCTCTATCAGCTCCAGCTACTCATGTGGGGACGTGAGAGAAGCCTCCCACAAGGATGATAAAAACATGAAATCATCCAGGCGTCCCCTGGGCAATGTCCTTGCAGATGGCCAATTCTCTCACACCAGAAGTGACTTGCAGTTTCTCAAGTTGCTCCTGACACAATTAAAAAAAACAAAAAAATATAAACTTAACAACAAGTCCCATTGGTACAGCAGGCATATTGTAGTTGGGACTTGAATTTGAGTCTTTCAGTACGACTATTTATTTTATACTCTTCCAAGTCTTGGGTTAATGCCTCTCTCCTGTATTAGGCCTTGCACCATACACCTGCCATGTCTTCTGATAGTAATAGATAGTAGCTCACATCTGTATCCCTTTATTGAAAAACCCTTCCTTCGAGAGAGTGCTTTTGAGAATTGAAGTGGGCAGACAGAGAAACCTGAGTGGCCGGAAATCTAGGTAACACTGGTCCATCTTAAAGTACAATCTCTGTCTTCATAAGGGGCATGTTCCTGAACTTCCCATTGAAATAGGAAACTCTGGACCTTCTTGAATTGTATTTTATTTTTATTTACTTCATTTCTATCCTGCCTTTCTCACCCAAAGGCACTCAAGTCAGCATACAATTCTGGGAAAAATTCAAATGAACAATTTTCACTGGAAGTTAATCTAGGGCTGAATTAAGGAACCTAGAAAATTCCTAGGGAGATATCCACTCGATAAATTTACCAGCATGAATGCATGGTAATGTCTTATGGGAGCATGCTATAGTGTTGCCTGGAGGATCTAGAAAAATCCTTGAGAAGTCAGACTTGCGGTACTGGGTCTGTGGGTATTATGGGGAACTATGTTGTACTGTTAAACCCTGAAGCCTGAAGCGGACATCTGCCTTACATTTAGTGCTTTGGAGGAATCCTAGAACGGTGCCAGAGGCAAGACTGGATTGTAGCTTTTTCAAGCACGAGTGTTTATTTTATTTTTATCCCCATAACAGGAATAGTTACTGAAGGAGCATGACCTAGAAAGGCACAGCGATAGCTTTTCTCCTGTTACAAATTATTCAGAAGTTGTCGCACTATTTATACCCGCGTTAAGTAGAAAGCATTAGTGGATCACCCCTAGCTCAGCCCTGCCTGGCAAATAAGCATGGCAACCCTGCAAAGCTTTGGAGTGGGGTGTTTAAATGGGGGCCCTGCACGTCTCGCCCTAAACTGGATTAGCGTGCATTTGCTTATGGTGCATAATTTATTTTGCATCTGATGGGGAACAAAGCTTGTGTTGGGCATTAAAAGCATGGCCCCACCAACTGAGGTTCGCAAGCAGGAGGCCCTGAGGTTCTCTACTTGCAAGGGGACTTGGGGGTTGGTGGGGCTATCTCTGCCTGCCTGGGATTGTATCAAGAGCCAGGAAATGTTTTTGAGGATGGGCGGGGGACTGAAACTTCTAGAATCTAGGTCTCTCCAAGCAGCGCATAAGCAAGTAATAAATGCAGCAACCTCTCTGCTCCGTTTTGTCGGATTTTGGAGGCCTGCTGCCTCTGAATAGAGATGGTCTATTCAGCTGCTATTCTTAAGGCCTAAGGGATAAACTGTTCCCCCTCTGGGAATTGGTCTTTTATCCCCTTTTAATAGCGCACGATCTTCCTTGAACACCAGTGTTGCTGCATCTTGCAGCTGTGACTTTTGCAACCGAAGCTGCTGTTGTATAAAGAAACGGGATTGTAGAATCCTAGAGTTGGAAGGGACCCCAAGGGCCATCCAGTCCCACCCTGTTCTCCCAGGTAGGAACGCACAACTCAAAGCACTTGGGCCTCTTCATAGGAGGCTCTTCTACAAGTGGTGGTTGTCACAACTACTGCCTGCAATAGGTTTGCAAAGGGCACCCGTTTATGGATTCTGGCTCCAGTGCTAACGTCAGCATTGGACAAGAGGGCACAGGCGGGAGCACGTGAGCCACTCCTGGTGGAGAGAGACAGCCTGGAATGGCTTCGACACAGAGGCAGCCAAGTCGGGACTGAGCCATTGCTGTGGAAGGACTCTCTAAAAGCAACGACAGGACATCCACAGGATGCCTAGGCAGAATTCAGGCAGTTTGACATGGAGCGCCATCTCAAGGAGAGAGAGTAATTACGATGATGGTGTTTATTTATACCAGGCATGGGCAAGCTTGAGCCCTCCAGGTGGACTTCAACTTCCACAATTCCTAACAGCCTCCGGTCCTTTCCTTTCCCCCCTCAGCCACTTAAGCGGCTGAGGGGGAAAAGGAAGGGGCCTGAGGCTGTTAGGAATTGTGGGAGTTGAAGTCCACCTGGAGGGCCCAAGCTTGCCCATGCCTGATTTATACCCTGCATTGCTTTCCAACAAGGAGAATCAATGTTGTTCTGGCAAACTTCTTCTGAACCAAACCGGCCAAGAAAACCATGTGGTATGGTTGCCATAGGTCGGAAACAACTTGAGGGCAACACAGCAATAACATCAAGGGAAGGGTATTGGCTTGCACAGTTTCCTTATAGTGATCTTTGTTGCCCAATTCATTTGTATCCCATTCTGCTGCCTTTAATGCTTTCAAAAACTGCTGGCTGAGGCAGCCATCTTCTTGACTCACTCTCATGTCTTCCCCTACACGCCTGGTCTGGAGAAATGAATCTGTATTGGTCCTTTTCCTTCCTTTTGCGCATGTTTGGGGTTTGTTTCAATGCTGAGTTTTTCTCTTGTCTTCCAGACACCTCAACGACATCGATCTGGGAGCTGCTTCTTTCTGGATCCGCATCGCTTTGGGAGCCACAGTTGCTGCCGTTGTAGGTGTCACGCTTTACAAGGCGATGGCGAAAAACAAATAGAGGAGGAGGAGAAAGAAGAAGAAGCCACCAACCCTCTTTCTTCCTCCTTCCTTTCCCCCCTGGCTCTACAAAACCAGCTCCATTGCCCTTGAGCAAGCAGCATGCCACACAGGAAAGGGGAAGAGATTGCCACCCGGAGAATAGCTTTTCCCTTGACCTCTTTTACTCTCACTGCAGGGGGAGCTGGGTAGGATGGACGGCCACCATTGCAGCACCAGCAGAAGCCGAAATCATTGCAGGAAATCATCTCACAGGCAAGACTCCGCTTCGCATTCCGTCTCCAAAAAGTACATTTTCCACACTCAGGGAGTGCCTCCCCTCAGCCATAGTTATCTTCCGTGACCTCTAGATGCATCTCAAGGCTCCACTGCACTTTTTGTACCACCCTGGGAGGTTTTTCTTCAAAGCCTGAAGCCATTGCAACAAAATGAATTATTATTCCTTTTTTTAAAAAAAGAAAGACTTCTGTTTTATGGGATCCTCAGGCACAAGGGGGAAGGGGCTTAGAGAGCCTAACAAAAAAAAAAAATCACTGTGCGCCGCTTGGTTCTGGAAGCCACCGGAAGGGCTGTCCCTTGTGTCTTGTTTTGTACTGAAGATGCGGATGCGCTCAACCATCATTGTGGGGGACGGGACCGAACAGGGTTTAGCACTCTTTGACATCACACAAGGAATACATGTGCTAGGACAAAAGGGACATCGAATGAGGAAACCCAGAAAGCATGCCATTGATTGCTTCAACAATGAATGTATAATGGCCTTTCTGCGATACGCTCCCTTCGAGCGCATTATGTCTCCCAGTACTACAGACGTCAACTTGCTGCATGTTTGTATGAGCTACCTTCACCTTTTTTCGCATTGTTATTCTGGGTTCACATTGCTATGGCAACCACCTGGAAAGCCTCTAACCACCTCTTTTTTTCTTAGGTAGGTTGGCAGGGACCATCTCCCATCCTCCTGACTTGGACGGGCTGATGGGATTTGGAGAATTCCAAGTTCTCCACGGCTCTGAAAAGGTGAAGGTGTGTGAGATGGTTGTTTAGCAGTGTTAACTGTTGTTTCTATTAGGGAAGGTTTGGCCTTCCAATGGTAATTACCATGATTGGGTTGCCGGCTTTGAGAACTGGAAGAGGGCTTTTGCACCTTGTTAATATAGGAGAGGGAACGTTTGCAGGTATTGCTTGTCACACCAGAAATTCACTGTTTGGCTCAACCATTAATGGTACAAGAGTCCTCCATTGCACATTGGCATCGCTAATCTAGCAGGCATGAGCCAACTTCACCCCCCCTTCCAGGAATGGTGGGAGCTGAAGTCCAAAACACCTGGAGGAGGACCGAAGTTGGCCCATGCCTGTTCTAGAGTAATCTTGATTAACAGTGGGGCCGTTGTCTGCTGCTTTCCGCCCCCCTGCCCCCCCCCCCCAGCTCTTCTTGCTCATCTCTATGAAAGCCTGACAGCTACAGATGTAAGAGTTGGCGTTCTCCTAGCTTCTTGCTTTGCTTTCCAGCAAGGGCCACTGCAAGAAAAGATGGGAGGCAGACCTGATGTCCAGTGCAACCCACCTTTCTTTTTCTTTTTTTAATCCATCCTCTGCTTTAAATATATATATATATAGTTGTGTAAATATGTATATGAAAAAGGGAATGCTTTCCTGCCCTCGGTAGTGAGTAAGCCACTTGGGAAACATTAAAAAAACCAAGCTTTTAAAAAAACAGTGCAGCGTTCAGCCATTCCTGCGCTGTTCCTGGGAAGGGAGAGAGTGGGTCTTTTTCAAGGAGGGTCCTTAATCTTTTTTGAGGAGGGTCCTTATTCCCCTGTGCGTCTTGCTGGTTTTTGTTTTATTTTTGAATACAAAACTCAGTTTGGGATGCAGACACTTACGTCCTCAGTAAATAAAAGCAGCTTCTCTTTTGCCAGCTCTGTGCCGCCCGGTTGTGCCTGCGTAGGAGAGACATGGCCAGTGTTTGAGAAAGTTACCTTTCGGAGCTCTGGCTCCCAGGATCTCCCAACCAGTTTGTCCATTGACTAATATGTTGCCTGAACAATTCTGAAAAAGGGGAGTGTTTCCAACTATTGGAGACATGAAGCTGTCAATGGGACCCAGGAGGACACAACTGTTTGCACTGTTTCCACAGCTATAACTGTACTTATAACACCACCAGGACACTTCAAACATGATCCATACTGTTGCTTAGGAAGGGTAATTTATTTTGAGGTGTATCCACACCAGACAGTTACAGCAGTTTGATTCTGCTTTAAGTGTCATGGCTCCATCCTTTAGAATCCTGGGATTCGTCATTGAGTATTTGTAACTCAATAGTTCAGGATTATTGGGGTTAGGAACCTGGAATTATCTTGCCTGCTACCCCAAAAGGGAGCTAGTCTGGACCTTATTGACAGACATCACAAGTGCCTTGCCAAACTAGAAATCCCAGGATTCCACTGGATGGAGCCAAGACAGCAGAAGTGGCATCCTTCTACTTCCTTTGGATTGGGTCATTTATGCCACCTCCACTCCTACCTTGAATGGGGTGTGTGTGTGTGTTTCTGGGCATTTCTTAAGTCTTCTAGTACAATTCTATGGTCAAATGGAATCATACTGAAGGATCTAGAAATGCTTAGAGAAGTGTTGTCTTGGGTGGAAAACAACAACAGTGGGCTTAAATTTATGTTTTTTGCACTTTGGTGCAGCTTCCTGGCCCTGAACCCTCACAAATGTGGAGAGCCAACATTAAGATAAGTTAAAACAAGGCCTGCCTTTTGAACCTCTTTATACGTTTTTTAAAAGTATAGAGTTATGGGCCAATGGGGAAAACTGCAGAGAAGCAGGTCTTGAATCCCAGTTGTCGTTTGTGTCTTTTTGAGCATAGTCTCATCAGATGTATTTATTTATCGTGTCAGGGGCAACCAGACAATTGTATTACATTTCTAACAGAACAAAACAAACAGACACAAAACAAAATTTGCAAGCTTGGCAGTTGATTAAATGTCCTTTGACCAGTATCTGGCCACTTGGAGTGCCTCTGGTGTTGCCGCAAGGAGGTCCTCCATTGTACATGTGGCAGGGCTCAGGGTGCATTGCAGCAGGTGGTCTGTAGTTTGCTCTTATCCACAGTCGCATGTCGTGGATTCCACTTAGTAGCCCCATTTCTTAAGGTTGGCTCTGCATCTTGTGGTGCCAGAGCGCAGTCTGTTCAGCGCCTTCCAAGTCGCCCAGTCTTCTGTGTGCCCAGGGGGGAGTCTCTCATTTGGTATCAGCCATTGGTTGAGGTTCTGGGTTTGAGCCTGCCACTTTTGGACTCTCGCTTGCTGGAGGTGTTCCAGCGAGTGTCTCTGTAGATCTTAGAAAACTATTTCTTGATTTAAGTCGTTGACGTGCTGGCTGATACCCAAACAAGGGATGAGCTGGAGATGTCACTGCCTTGGTCTTTTCACTATTGGCTGCTACTTCCCGGCGGATGTCTGGTGGTGCAATGCCGGCTAAACAGTGTAATTTCTCCAGTGGTGTAGGGCGCAGACATCCTGTGATAACGCGGCATGTCTCATTAAGAGCCACATCTACTGTTTTAGTGTAGTGAGATGTGTTCCACACTGGGCATGCATACTCAGCAGCAGAGTAGCATAGCACAAGGGCAGATGTCTTCACTGTGTCTGGTTGTGATCCCCAGGTTGTGCCAGTCAGCTTTCGTATGATATTGTTTCTAGCACCCACTTTTTGCTTGATGTTCAGGCAGTGCTTCTTGTAGGTCAGAGCACGGTCTCATCAGATCTGTTCTCCCCTTTAGTCCTCAATTGACGGTGTTGTTGCATCCTTCCAACAATAGCTCCATCACTTGTTAGATCTCCTGTCCTTGTATGAAAGGGTGCTGCGGATGGGATTGTGGTGCTGCCTGTGCGTCTGCTTTCTCTAAGGGATGTGGTGTGCCGCAGTTTCCCTTTGGGGATGCCCCATATTGATTCGCTGCAGCGTTTAGCAGAGCGCAGCCACCGATCGATCAATGGGCGCCTGGGATGAGGATATTTAATTAGTACATCTGCCCCATCTGAATAGGGAATTGGTACATTCTTCTGCATGAGCAGTAGCTGCCCGGCCTGGGCTTTCTTTCTAACTCACGCACCCCTGTTAACTGGGAGATTATAATGAGCACAGTAATCCTGTAGACCCCAAAGGCTTGCCTGTGGGCATTGCTGATGCGCCACTTGTTGTGGCCTGACCGACTAAACCTAGCCCCACATTGGAAATCCTGTTAACATTTCGGATTACAGGGCATATTGGGTGACCCCTTCCTTACTCATTGGCAAGTGTTTATCTACTGCTTCGATCCAAACCTGCCCTTCTGCCCGGTGAGCTCAATACCCACGCCGTCCTGATACCATTGCCTTTGCCCCATGCTGTCCCACATTTCTGCAAACGGAACTGGAGAAAGGGTTAGGCTTGTATCATTATACTATGTAACACTATGATTTATGTTCCTGGGTTATAAACTCATCATTTGCTAATTGGTTCTATCATAAAAACATGGGAAAGTTTATTAAGCTGTAAACTTAATAAACTGAGGGAGGGACATCCTGCTGTAGCATTTTTTGCTCTCGTTTGTCAACCAAGAGTCTCAACTAATTCGACATAGTTTGTGCCTGAAACAGAAAATTTCTGGAGTAGGAATATTACTTTCAAAGTAACAAGCACACAATTAAACAGGAAATAACTATTTCAAACCAGGAACAGATTTTTTCCACATTTTATTACATAGTATATTTTTTTCTTGAAGGAAATGCAACAGAATGGGAGAGATTCTGTGCCGTAGGGCTCAAAATATTGTTGCTCCTTCCTGGAGTGTCCACCTGATGACTTCTTGCTCTTGTTTCTTGAAAGCATGGCTGTTGTCTTCTTCCTGCTATCGGAAGAAGGCTTCAAGAGAGATATTGACAAGCTGGAATGTGTCCAGAGGAGGGCGACTAAAATGATCAAGGGTCTGGAGAACAAGCCCTATGAGGAGCGGCTTAAGGAGCTGGGCATGTTTAGCCTGAAGAAGAGAAGGCTGAGAGGAGATATGATAGCCATGTATAAATATGTGAGAGGAAGCCACAGGGAGTAGGGAGCAAGCTTGTTTTCTGCTTCCTTGGAGACTAGGACGCGGAACAGTGGCTTCAAACTACAGGAGAGGATATTCCATCTGAACACGAGGAAGAACTTCCTGACTGTGAGAGCCGTTCAGCAGTGGAACTCTCTGCCTCGGAGTATGGTGGAGGCTCCTTCTTTTGAAGCTTTTAAACAGAGGCTGGATGGCCATCTGTCAGGGGTGATTTGAATGCAACATTCCTGCTTCTTGGCAGGGGGTTGGACTGGATGGCCCATGAGGTCTCTTCCAACTCTTTGATTCTATGATTCTATGGAGTAAAAGGTATTGAATATGTAGTTAGCTTTGAGAGCCCATGTGGTTGGATTATGACTCTGGGAAAGTGGAAACCCAGTGGATGGCCTTGGGAGAGTCACACACTCTCAGTCCCAGAAAACCCTGCGATGGGATCTCCTTAGGGTCACTGCCACAAGAATGCCCTAGAGCTATGAGGAACAAGAAAGGAATTGGCCAGAGCATTGTTCCAGAACCTTGCTGTGGATTATGGTCCACCAGACATATATATTGTACTGTATCCATTGAGGTGGGTCAGGGATGGATTGTCCTCAATTGTGCCTTAATTCATATACATGGCTGGATCTCATCCACATTCCCCATTTCCTTATAGCTTAAAAGAGTTATTCATCGAAGGAACATCAGGAATGTATCTACTCTATACAGTTAATTTGGATGGATGCCACTTTCAACAGCCATGCCTCCGTCCTAGGGGAACTTGCAATGTGTAGCATAAAGGGGTGTTTTGACTTTTCTCTCAGCGGTGTGATGATGGGAATGGCGGTCCTGCCACTTCTGGAGGGAATTACTTAGGCGATTCCTCGTAGCTCGAGGATGATTGTCTTCCAGATGTGGTGTCTTGGCGATGGGTACGTAGGTGTCTGTGGAGCCCTATTCTTGATCTGCATGTTCTCCCGCAGTGAGGACATCGGTTTCCAGATGGAAGGCACTCCCGGTCAGGGTTGGCTTGACTTGTCTTCCTCTTGGCACGTTTCTCTCTTTCACCCTCTATTCGTGCCTCTTTGAATCCTGCAGAACTGCTGCTCACAGCTGAACTCCAGTTAGAGCACTCAAGGGCCAGGGCTTCCCAGTTCTCAGTGTCTATGCCACAGTTTTTAAGATTGGCTTTAAGCTAGCGTTTCTCAACCTCTGGGGGTCAGGACCCCTGGGGGGATCACGAGGGGGTGTCAGAGTGGTCACCAAAGACCATCAGAAAACACAGTATAAATCCCAGAAACTACAACTCCCAAATGACAAAATCAACCCACCCACCCCAAAACTCCACCAGTATTCAAATTTGGGCATATTGGGTGTTTGTTCCAAATGAAAATACATCCTGTATATCAGATATTTACATTATGATTTGTAACAGTAGCAAAATTACAGTTATGAAGTAGCAACAAAAATAATTTTATGGTTGGGGGTCACCACAACATGAAGAACTGTATTTAGGAAGGTTGAGAACCACTGCTTTAAGCCTATCTTTAAATCTCTTGTCCTGTCCACCAACATTACGTTTCCCATTCTTGAGTTCGGAGTAGAGTAACAGCTTTGGGAGACGGGAATAATTTATTATGATCAACAGATCAGGCAAGCCACTTCTGGAGGGCCATGTGTGCTCATAAATTAGCTCTCAAACATTGCTGTTCAGGACAGTGTTTCTCAGTCACAGTGTTCAGAAAACGGGCTGGCACCTATGAATTGCCTTCTCTGAAGGTGAGATGGGAATTACAGGTGTGATTCAACATGTCCCTCTCCTTTCCATGATGCATATCTGCCGGGTCTTCATATCCATACAGACCCAAATCCAGACAGTCGGGAAAAGGGAGTTCTCACAAAGGGAAGCAGCTAAAACATTGATTCTTTTTTGCCTGCTTCTTCCTACCTGTCGACTATAGTTGTTGACCAGAATAAATCTTGATGCACTTGCTGTTTGCAGGCAGGGGAGGAGGAAATCTATTCCTTGCCCCTGGATTCTATTTGCAGGGAAGGAAAGCAGAGACAGTAGCAGAGCCAAGAATTTGCATCTCCCTTCCAATCAAGACTTACCTGCCTGGTTAAAAGGGGGGCTCTGTGGTTTCCTTACATTCCAGTATTTGGGGGCGGCATAAATAATGCAGTCGCGTTGCCCTGTGCGCCGTCAGCACAGCTTTCACATTAGCATCTCTGTTGCAAACCACGGAGGCAAGGCCGGCTTGCTGGTTTCCCTATCGCATCTCTCCATATTTGCATTTCCATAATTTAAATAAATGAAAACAGCGAGTCGTTTCCCAAAGGAGGCTGCGCTCGGTTAAAACAACAACTCCAGCAGCTCTTTTTTTCCAAATGATAAACAGGCATAGAGTGCTCCTTTGCGCACATGCCCATAAGTACCCATATGTATACATTTCAATGTGTTCAGTGCAATAACTGAACACTGGCCTGGTGTAGTGCTTTGAGGGTTCTGATCCCTGCTCCTTGGGGTGGAAGTTACTCTTGGCCACAAAAAACCCTGCAATAGGTTTGCCTTATTTGTCACAATTGGCCAGAAACACCTTAAAGGCACACAAAAATAACACAAACACTTGACCCTTAATACAGCAAAACAGAAAGAGACTCAAAATTATCTCAACCAGGTGAAAAATCTCTGGACAAAAAGGACAGCATGAGAAGAATGATGTATCTATATCTATACACATAATAATAGTCAAAGTATGTATGTGTGTATGGCTGGGGTGTTCACTTACACAGACAAGCTCCTGCCTCCACAAACACCTATAACTCCCACTGCTCAGGAGACACCAATGGCCCACCATTCAAGTGGAGGCTTTGTTACGGGGACCATTTTATGTGTTTCCTTCACCACAAACATCCCAGTGTTTCTGACTCTCC